TATATAATTATATATATATATATATATATATATATATATATATATATATATATATATATATATATATACAAAACGACCCCAGCATCTATTGAGGTGTTTAGGTTTTTGGGTTAATAGGGAGAGAAGGCGGGGGGGGGAGGGGGGGGAGCATGCAGCTAGTAGCTGCTGCTGCTGCTGCTGTTGCTGCTGAGCTCAGCTGCAGCAGCAGAAGCAGCAGCTGCTGCTGCAGCTGCTGTTGAGCTCAGCAGCAGCAGCAGCAGCAGATGCATGCAACACAACACAAACCACAAACCACTAAAATGTAGGGAGAAGAGGCAGCAGCAAGCCTCTCAACCCGACCTGCGGCGATCGGCTAACTCCTCCCTTCATACATACAAAAAAAAGAGGGGAGGGGGGGCCCCCCTCTGGGGGGCCCCCCGCAGAGTTACAGCTGAAGGGGGGCCCCCCAGAGGGTTCGATGCACACACACCTAGCCGGGGGGGCCCCCCGGGGGCCCCCCCACAGGCCGCCGTAGGAGGCATCACAGCTTCTGCCGCTCTCTTCAACAACAACACCTACCCTTGGGGGCCCCCCAGGGGGGCCCACCCTTCGGGGGGGCCCCCGGGGGGCCCCCGGGGGCCCCCCCAGGAGGGGGCCCCCATCCGCCCCTGCTGTGTAGGGTTTAGGGTTTGGTTGTATGGTTGGGCGGATGGGTGTATGGGTATTATTTTGTAACACTTTAATCGTCTCTTGCCTTTATACGTTGTGGTGTATTTAGGGTTTAGGGTTTAGGGTTTTTAGGGTTTAGGGTTTAGGGTTTTTAGGGTTTAGGGTTTGTGGTTGGTAGATAGGTGGTAGAGAGGGAGGGTTTAGGGTTTAGAGAAAGTTAGGGTTTAGGGGTATTTAGGTGAAAAAGAAAGAGAGGGTTTAGGGTTTGTAGTTTTGTTAGTAGACAGATAAAGGGTTTATGTTGCAGCCCAGCTTTCTCTAGGGTTTAGGGTTTAGGGTTTAGGGTTTAGGGTTTGCAGATGAAGGGGGTTAGTCCCCTACTGGTAGCTTTCAGAACTGAAACGGGGCTCACAGATATATACAGACAATTTGGGGTAAAGGGTTTAGGGTTTAGGGTTTAGGGTTTAGGGTTTGGAGTCTAGGGTTTAGGGTTTAGGGTTTAGGGGTGCGGTGCAGCAGCAGGAGCCAGGAGAGCTGTTGCCATGAAATATCAAGGGTTTAGGGTTTTTTAATTTATAATAAATAAAAAATAATAATAAAAATAAAAAAAAAAAATAAAAAGAATATTAAATACTATGGAGCGATGGGTTATAGGGGGTGATAGCAAGAAACAATATAAAATAAAGAAAAATAATAAATAAATAATAATAAATAAATAATAAATAATATATAATAAACAAATAATTTAAACTAAAGTCGTATGATCTGCTGCTGGTATGTCGGCTGCTGCTGCTGCTGCTGCTGCTGCTGCTGCTGCGTGTACACCGCAGCGGGCGGGAGTGAAACCTCCCCCACCTGCATCCTTCACGAAATAAAAAATTACAAAAATAAATAAAAACATCAATTATTTTACCTGCATCCTGCATTAGACAAATTGTAGCAGCAGCAGCAGCAGCAGCAGCAGCAGCAGCAGCAGCAGCAGCAGCCTGCACGACCAGTGGACCGCAGCCCGTCTTGCTGGGTGTTCTTCCGGTTGCATGCATCTGCTCCTCCTCACCAACCAAAGCCCAACAGAAAAAAAAACAAAAACTAAAACAAAAACTAAAAATAAAAATAAAACTTTTGTTTTCTTTTGCTGCTGATGAATCTGCTGCCACCCCGGGGGGCCCCCCTGCGTCCAGCTGCGAGGCAGCCATGAGGTCTCACGGGGGCCCCACACCAGCAGCAGCAGCAGCAGCAGCAGCAGCAGCAACTGCTGCTGCA